CCCCCCCTTCACTGCAGATGTATTGGAAGAATAAAGAAAACTTGTTTATCCTTGGATTCTGATCTACTCTGATCAGCCAGTATTTATTTCAGGATTGTCGCAGTTTATTTACCGTCATCATGATTCACGGTTGTGATTTAATTAGGTTGTATTAAATAGAGTGAACAGCTAGACATGGTAGTAGAGCTGAGACGGCGGTTATTGTAGAGAAATCTTTCATTTGAGACCTGACGTTTACAGTTTATGTATATGGTTCAGCAAGAGCGTCGATTAAATATTTTAAATCCTCGGGTTGTCAATTTTGGGTGTTTACTTTGAAAATTGTCTTGCCGGTCACTCCCTTTAAGGTGATTTTTGTAGGTTAAAAGTTTCAAGAGTGTCGTCAACGATTTACCCAGTTTTTAAAAAACGTCTTGTGGATATTTATTGCTTTTAAAGATGGCTTAAGGTAATCTGATTTAATTCTTTTAATCCACTTTAAAAAAGAATTATGTTCTTTTACCTGTAAAAAATTAATTTTTAAACCCAAATTTTCTTGGAATATTTAACGAGTTTATCACTGTGGTAGTTTGATGTCTTACAGTGAGACTGACAAAGCTCTGGAATGGGAAGACGATATTAAATTGTACGTGTATTAAAGTAAAAAAGGCAGCTTTACCAGTATTTTAAAAATAAACTTTAAGTGAATTGTGTCTGTGTACATACCATGTACACTGCATATTTTCTGTGTTTAATGCTCATTTATTTATTCAAAATAATAACACTTCTTCCTATTCCACAGTTTTATGGGTCCCTCTCTATATAATGCATGTTAAAAATGTACTTGCAAAAGAAATATTTATTGTCATTTATCATATATAAAGGTTGTATTTATCATATTTGAAAATAAAACTTTATTGAAAAAAAGCTTTTATTTTTTTCTAGTTCAGAAAGTTATGGTAAAAAGCTCTACTTAAATCCTTTTATATCCGAAAAAAAAAATATTTGAAAAGATTTTCAGATCAAGATAAAAAATTGTCCATCACAGACTTTCCTAGCTTTCAGTTCAGACAAAGACTTAAAATTGACCGTAAGCGTAATTTTAAGTAACACTCATGCATGCACTGTGCACATATGACAATGACACTTGCAAAAGCTTTGTCTGACCTAGCAAGAATTCGATTTGCCTTTTTTAAATGACCGACTTGCAAAAGATGGGACCTTAATGCTAAATGCGACCTGGAATTCTTTGAATGTAACCTTTTAAAGGTTGACTCTAGTCCAACAGTAAGTTTTTTTTAATGAACAAATTGATATTTTATATCATCCTCGGTTGTCTTCATCGGGCATTAAGGGGAAACAACCCCGACCTCCCCCCCCCCAAAAAAAGAAAGCTTTTAACACGATGTCTTTTTCTTGTTTTCCTGGTTAACGATATAAATAATGCAGATAAGTATTAATTGTCTTGGAATACTCAACAATAAATGTATTATATGTATCTATATACGCATCTTTGTGAATAGTTATACATATATATATATATATATATATATATGTATCTTTATATATAGTTATACACAGATATATATATATATATATAATACAAATATATCTATTGTCTGTATATTTGTATATCTGGGTCAAAGACGAATCTTGCTATTGCAACCATTAATGAGGAATAATCTTTAATTCTCAGCGGGACAGGGTGTCCTCAATTCCATCAGAAAGGCAGGTGGTCCTGAATTCCACCAAAGGGGTGTCCTAAATTCCTTCAAAAGGATGTCCTTAATTCCACCAAAGGGCTTCGTGTCCTTATTTCACCAAGGAACAGGGTGTCCTAAATTCCACCAAAGGCTACCTGTACTTAATTCTAGCAAAGGGGTGACGTTAATTCCACCAAAGCGCTTGGTGTCCTTAATTCCACCAAAGGGAAGGGTGTCCTTAATTCCACCAAAGGGCAGGATGTCCTTAATTCCTCTGAGTGCTTGGTGTCCTTAATTCCACCTAAGGAGTAGGGTGTCCTTAATTACACAAAAGGGCAGGTGGTCCTAAATTCTACAAGGAGCATTGTGTCCAAAATTCCACCAACGGGTATGTGGTCCTTAATTCCACCAAAGGGCAGGTGGTCCTAAATTCCACCAAAGGACAGGGTGTCCTTAATTCCACCAAAGGATAGATGGTCCTAAATTTCACCAAAGGAACAGGGTGTCCTTAATTCCACCAAAGGGCAGGGTGTCCATAAGTCGACTTAAGTGCTTGGTGTCCTTAATTCCACCAAAGGGCAGGGTGTCCTTAATTACACCAAAGGGCAGGTGGTCCTAAATTCCACCAAAGGAACAGGGTGTCCTTAATTCCACCAAAGGGCAGGGTGTCCTCAATTCCACCAAGGAGCATGGTGTCCTTAATTCCACCAAAGGGCAGGTGGTCCTCAATTCCACCAAAGGATAGGGTGTCCTAAATTCCACCAAGAAGAATGGTGTCATTAATTCCGCCAAAGGGCAGATGGTTCTTAATTCCACCAAGAAGCAGGGTGTCTTTAATTCCACCAAAGAACAGGGTGTCCTTAACTCCACCAAAGAACAGGGTGTTCCAGAATTTAATTATTCAAACATTTAAATATCTTTGGCGTTCACTCCAAATATAAGTTATTTTTTTACAGATTTAACTCCAACTTTTTTCTTTTAAGTTTGTTTTTAAACACATCTTTGTAAAATGTTGGTCCACAAAAAGACTGGACAAAGAGAACCCTTTATAAGAGTAAGATTCATAGACATAGTACACGTAATGGTATAAAAAAAACGTTAAAAACATGTAATTGACGAGTCTCTTGAAAACCAAAAAATCTGAAAAAATTAAGATTAAAGGTGACGTAATTTAAAGGGACCGATCCCAACGTAACCCTTAAACTTTTTCTGATCAAGAATGCTTGAGATATCCTTTATTTTTTATTGAAAGTCAATTATTTTTAATTGTGGTTTCGTTTTAAAGTTACTTGCGGATTTTGCTTCAGAAACAGTGGAGGAAATCTACTCGATGTTCATTTTAAATGTAGCATGAAATTATATTCTAGAGAAATCTACTCGATGTACATTTTAAATGTAGCATGAAAGTATATTCTAGAGAAATCTACTCGATGTACATTTTAAATGTAGCATGAAAGTATATTCTAGAGAAATCTACTCGATGTACACGATGTACATTTTAAATGTAGCATGAAAGTATATTCTAGAGAAATCTACTCGATGTACATTTTAAATGTAGCATGCAAGTAAATTCTAGAGAAATCTACTCGATGTTCATTTTAAATGTAGCATGAAAGTATATTCTAGAGAAATCTACTCGATGTACATTTTAAATGTAGCATGAAAGTAATTTCTAGAGAAATCTACACTTTTTAGCCTTGCTAAACTATTTAGAAAATATTTGGATATTAGATTTCATTGATAAAATTATACAAAATCATCAGAGGCGCAACGGACATATGTTAGGGGGAGGGGGAGAGAGTAAGAAAAAGATAAAAGTTTGTCTTATAAACACCCGTTGTCCTTGTTTTTGTCCTTTAAATTTCTGCTCCCAGTCAAAACTCAAGACTAAAAAGGCTAAAAGCCAATTCATATTAGAAATATTTTTTTTCGATAAAACTTTGTTTTCAAAAAATCCTCAAACATTTTATGTAAACAATTGTTTTTTCGAATTTAAAATTCAGGCCTTTGAAAATGATCACATAAAATATGGGATATGAGGGAAATAAATTATTTATAATGCATTTCGAGAGCTGCAGTTTTTATGCATCAAGTATGAAAATTTATCGCCAGGAAACCCCAAAACTAAATTTGTTGCCAACACATAAACAAACATATTCACATCAAATAATTCAGTTTGATATAAGGGGTGGCCCACGAAACATGTCAGTAGCAAGACGACTTAAAGGTGGTCTTTAAACTTGATCTTTGAAAAAATTTCCGGCCTTCATCGGTAAACCTAATTTTAGAGAAAAAAAATTACAGAATTGATAATTACAAAAAAAAACTCCTATTCCTGGTATTTCCAAAAGGGAGTCTTCCTTTTCTGCTTTAAATTATACCGGAGAAGTAAAGACTTTTGTCTATATTTCTACAATTTTGATTTTTATAATAAATTTAAATCTGAAAGAAGTTCTTATATCTCCAGTAATATTGTAAGCACAAAAAGACAGACCATATTTTGGAAATGACAGGACTAAGAGAATTTTTTTTATTGTTTGGAGTATCACATCACATCATGTAAAAGTAGGTTGAACAATAAATGCCGTAAATAATTTCTAAGATCAAAGACGACATTACCATTGTCCTGCTACTGTCATGTTTTGTGGGACACCCTACAGTTAACTGTACGCGACTAAAAGATCTATCTATGTATCCGGGAACCCCAATAAACCAAATTAAAGGGAATGACCGCGTAGACATGGTAGTTGAGCTGAGAGTGCAGAATTGTAGAGAATTTTTTTCGAATTGATTTGTGATCTATAACAATGACGTTTTACGGTGTAAAAGTGTTCAACGAAAATACAATCTTGCACTCTCATCTCAACTACCATGTCTACGCGGTCACTCCTTTTTAACCCGTGCCGGGCTATGCTACCAGAGAGAGAGAGCACTTCGTTTTTAAAAATGTTGATTGAGCCGTAATCAAAATAAAGTTCTTCCTACAAACCCCCTTGAAGTTTTCGCAAACATTCCCATTAAGCGGAGTTTATAGATATTCAGTTTACGACGAAAATTCTTAAAAACATTACGCATGAAAGATATTTATCATTTTCCCCTGAAGATTATTTACGGGGGGAATAAAATTGAAATTATAAAGTTTATCTGTCAAATAAATTCTGATTTTTCAACAACAAACACACTGAGTGGCCCTAAACCAAGAATAGGAGTAACAAAAAAGGTAGACAAATTCTTATAATAGGACATCACGAGTCCAAAATAGTTTTTTAGTAAATCTTAGCTGCTCGATTAATTTGACTGAGTTATTCGCTTTTAAATTTTTAAAGAAAATTCTGGAAAATTTGATAAAATTTGATAGAAATCCTAGCATAAAGTTACATAACTTGCTCACAAATATAAAACCCATGGGTTTGACTATGGTTTAACTATGGTTTGACTGCAGTCAACTGACAAAAACTCAACAATTATTATTCAAAGGATTTAGATGATCAAAATCTGCTTTAGATTTCATGTAATCTAAAATGGTAAATAGTGTGTTATATACAGTCATAACCAGAAAACAACGGAATAGAAAGACGACATTATTGCAATACTTAAGCGTTTTGATCTTGTGACAAAGCAAATATGTTTACTAGTAACTTAGCAAAGTACATATTTAAGTGAAAAGGGTCTATTTACACTTTACAAATTCTATGTCTAATGTCCTAAATTGAGTATAATTGTCGTCTTCCTATTTCAGAGTTTTCTGGTTATCACTGTATTATTATTGGAGTCCATTGTCATCCCCGCCCTTTGTGAATTGATTTGATTTGATAAGCAATCAGATATGTTGAAAAAAAATCATGTGTATAGCTTATGATGCAAATAAATAAATTTCTAAACAAATATATTTCTTTGTGTAAAATAAAATGTGAAAATTAAATAAAAATGTTTTGAGAAAAAATATACAGAAAGTACAGTATTAAATTTGCATCTCAAAATAAAAATGTTTTGAGAAAAAAATATACAGAAAGTACAGCGTTCAGTTTGCATCTCTCTTCACTCCACTTCACTCTATCTATGTACTTTGCTTGGGTGGGTGTCTGTTTGTTTGTTTGTTTGTTTGTTTTTAGCCAATTAAGTCAAAACAGCAGAACTGATAGGCCCAAAATTTGACCCCAGGGAAGGTTTATGGATGCTCAGAATTACAAAAATGTTGACTCCAAAAAGTTTTGATTTTTCGTA